CAACCAAGGTACATGCCCTTGACCGGAATCGAACCTGGGACCCTTCAGTCCGCAGGCCGACGGAGAGCCAAATTTTTTAAACTTAAACTATATAGGTAGGTACATTGTTATTAACTTAATTAGGGCACTCCTAAGGCTTAGGAAGAGCCATACTCAAGGGGCCAAAGAGCCGCATGTGGCTCGCGAGCCGCAGTTTGCCGACCACGGCTCTAGACTCACACTCTCCTGGGTCAGGTGATCACTCTCCTGGGTCAGGTGATTACCCTCCTGGGTCAGGCGGTCACCCTCCTGGGTTAGGTGATTACCCTCCTGGGTCAGGCGGTTGCCCTCCTGGGTCAGGCGGTCGCCCTCCGTCTAGACTTGGGTGGAATCCTGAGCTCTCGAGCGGCTCTCAGCTCCCTCCTGTCTGCTGTGGCCACCGCCCAGGCTGCTCAGTTCTTTACCGTGACGGGCAGTGTCCTCGCTGTTGCTCATGGTTGATTGTCAGGAGCTGGCGGAGCGGGAAGGAGGCCGAGAGGGACGGAGCCGTCAGGGTGTGCTGGGCGTTATCGGGGGTCAGGGCTCAGCGGTGGGCCCACTCTGGACTCCTCAGTAAACGTAGGGTTCTGGATGTAGGTGGGCCTGGACACCGCCTCCAGGAGTGGGTCTTTCCTGTTGTATATGTTTTTATTGATTTCAGAGGAAGGGAGAGGGAGACAGAGATAGGAACACCAATGGTGCGAGAGAATTATTGATCAGTCACCTGCACGCCCCTCACTGGGAGGGAGCCCACAACCCGGGCATGCGCCCTGACCGGGAATTGAACTATGACCTCCTGGTTCATAGGTCGACGCTCAGCCACTGAGCCACGCTAGCCGTGCAGTTTTTTCTTTTTAATCCTCACTCGAAGATATTTTTCCTGCTTTTAGATAGAGTGGAAGGGGTAGGGGGAGGGAGAAAGGTAGAGAGAGAGGGAGAGAGAGAGACATCAGTGTGAGATACATCGATCGGTTGCCTCCTGCACGCCTCCTACTGGGGATGGAGCCCACAACCCGGGCATGTGCCCTGGCCGGAATCGAACCTGTGACCTCCTGGTTCGTGGGTTGACACAACCACTGAGCAACGGCTGCCAGGCTCCAGTCTTCCTCTTACATGATCTTATTTAATGTCACATCAGCTTTAGGGACTAGGTCTTATTTCGCCCTAAACCGGGAGGAACTTCTGTGGTCTACCCGCAGGGGGAACTGTGTACCCCAGGATCGGGCCAGCCCATCCCATGTTCCCACACCCCACCTGGTCCTCTCCACACCCCCCTGTCCCCACACCGCGTGGGGTGTTTGCTCTGCTCTTCAGCTCCCCTCTTTTCCTCTTCTCCTCGTCTCTGTGAGAAGCCAGCCCTTGTAAGTCACATAATCCCCAGGGCTGAACCCCCGTTTTCACTTCCTCCTCCTGGCTTGTGCGCCGAGGCCCCTGTAACGCTGCAAACCCCAGGGCTGAACCCCCGTTTTCACTTCCTCCTCCTGGTTTGTGCCCCGAGCCCGGCGCCGAGGCCCCTGTAACGCTGCAAAGGTGAGCCCCCGCCCGGGGGACACAGGACCTCGTGACCTGTCTCCGTTTGTCGTACTGAATTCACGGCCCAGGTCTGTGCGGACCCTCCCCTGCCGGCGCCTGAGAACGTAGGGGACCCTCTGCACCCCCAGGCTGGACTCCGGGGCCTGGCCGCGTGGGTCTGTGATGCTCCTGCGGGATGAAGCGCAGCGCGGGCCCCCCTCCCTCACGTTCCCGCCGTGTCCCCGCAGATCTTCGTCTGGGAGCAGAACCTGGAGCAGTTCCAGATGGACCTGTTCCGCTACCGCTGCTACCTGGCCAGCCTGCAGGGCGGCGAGCTGCCCAACCCCAAGCGGCTGCTCGCCTTCGCCAGCCGCCCCACCAAGGTGGCCATGGGGCGCCTGGGCATCTTCTCCGTGTCGTCCTTCCACGCCCTGGTGAGTGGCCTGGAGGCCGTGGGAGGGGCTGGGTCAGCGCGTGGAGGTGGGTCCCGCTTTCCACCGCGTGAGCCTCTGGGGGGTGTGGGCAGGTCTTCCCTGACAGCCGGAAGGTTCCTGCTCCCGCCCCTCGACGGGCTGGTGGTTGTGCCGGGACGTGCGGCACCGTCTTAGGAGGCCTCTGTGGGCAGTGTTTGCTGGTAGCGCCTGCGCCCATAGGCAGGGTCACGTTTTAACCCAACACGCATGTACATGTTTTGTGCTAATCCTCCCCGAGGACATTTCCCCATTGATTTCTAGGGAGAGAGGAGGGAAGGAGAGGCACGGAGGGGAACGTCGATGTGAGACACGGCGATTGGTTGCCTCCTGCACCACCCGCACTGCCGGGTGTGCCCTGACCGGATCGAACCGGTGACCCTTCAGTCCAAGGGCCGACACTATCCACTGAGCCTAACTGGCCAGGGCCCAGGTACATTTTTTGTGTGTTTTTTAAAAAAATATATATTTTTATTGATTTCAGAGAGAAGGGAGAGGGGGAGAGAGAAAAACATCTTTGAATATATCAACTGCTCTCTTCTGGCCTCTAAATTTTCTGATGAGAAATCTGTTGATAATCTTATTGACAATACTTGTATGTAATGATTTACTTCTCTCTTGCTGCTTCCAAGATACTCTGTCTTTTGAATGTTTGATTATAATGTTTCTTGATGTGGGTCTTTTTGAGTTCATCCTACTTGGATTTGTTGAGGTTCTTGGATGTTTATTTATTTCATCAAATTTGGAAAGTTTTCAGCCAGTATTTCTTCAAATATTCTCCTCTCGCTTGCTCTCTCTCTCTCTCTCTCTCTCTCTCGCGTGCAAACTCACACGTATGTATTGGACGCAGATCTCCCTGGGGACCCCCTTCTCACTCACTTTCCGTCGTGGTCAGTGGCAGATGGAAACCGGAGTCTCCCTCCGACATTCTTGTCTGGGCTGCTGGCACCTTGCACACAGCTCGCTGGGGTTTAGTTCCTTTTTTTTTTAAAACAAAACACAGCTTTCAGTGCCTTCCGCCTGAACGCAGGGCACCCTCCCGTGGCCCCCGGCCCCCCGTCTCCTGCCTCCTCCCAAAGGCTCCATCCGGCCTCCTTCCCGCTGACCCGGCACCTCCCTGTGCAGGAGGGAGCCGGGTCCGGGGACCCCCTCCGAGTCCTGGGCGCGCAGACCTTCCGCTTCTCCCCTGAGCGAGGTCACGGGCGGGGGTGGAGCTGGGGACAGTGGTCAGGTGTCCAGCCAGGAGGTGGTCTGTGGAAACGGGAGGAACCGGAGCGGAAGGGATGGACTCGTGGGGGCTGGCGCGCTGCTCGGGTGTCTGTGCTGACCGGGCAGCGGCGTCCATTCGGAAGGAGCCGCTCCGTGGGGTTCGGGTTCGGGTTTGGGTTGGG